GCACATTTCAACGCGCGGAGGAAGCTGACGGACGGTCCGGGACCGAGCCGGGCGTTCAGATGGTGGACGATGACCCCGGAACGTCCTGAACCATCAAGACCAGGGATGTAAGCCGAGTCTAAGACCTAAATCCTGAGTTTGAGTCTTTGGCACCAAGTCCATGTCTTGGGCGTCAAGTCCAGAGTCCCAAGTCCCTATTAAAAACAAGCTTTTTTATTTTACTATTTATTTTACTGTCTTGTCTAAGGGTGGGTATTTTTGGATTTTCTGAACTGCGAAGACCACAATTCTCCATTCGGGAGCCCTGCCTCCCTTAGCGGAAAAAGACCGACATTCGAAGGCTTTCAGACATAGTTTGGCCAAGTTCCAGCCACAATTCCTGTTCCTCTCTCAATGCTAGCTGGGAGCTTCCTTACTCATCCAGAAGAACGGGGAGGGCTTGGCCTAAGACCCATCGGTCTGTCTTCCTGGCAGTCCGGAGTCTCCACAAAGCTCTCCTCCAGCACCATAGTTCAGAATCAACTTTCGTCCTGTCACCTTTCTCAACATCTGAGGGTGTAGATGAGCCGCATCTTGGTTTCCAATGATGCCTCCTTACCCTTGATGGCCTTTTCTCATTCCTTCATGGATGCCCTTCCGAGTCTCTGTCTTCTGCTTCTTTGGCTGCCATCTCCCTCTGGATCAATGATTGAAAAAAGTTCTGCAACGTCCCCAATGATTTCCATTTCTTCGTCCTCAACATCCAAGTTGGGTTCTTCTATAGTCATGATGTTCATCTTCTCCATGTTCAACTGCAGTCCTGCTTCGGCTTACTGAGCCGGAAGAACATGGAGGGCTTGGCCTAAGACCCATCGGTCTGTCTTCCTGGCAGTCCGGAGTCTCCACAAAGCTCTCCTCCAGCACCATAGTTCAGAATCAACTTTCGTCCTGTCACCTTTCTCAACATCTGAGGGTGTAGATGAGCCGCATCTTGGTTTCCAATGATGCCTCCTTACCCTTGATGGCCTTTTCTCATTCCTTCATGGATGCCCTTCCGAGTCTCTGTCTTCTGCTTCTTTGGCTGCCATCTCCCTCTGGATCAATGATTGAAAAAAGTTCTGCAACGTCCCCAATGATTTCCATTTCTTCGTCCTCAACATCCAAGTTGGGTTCTTCTATAGTCATGATGTTCATCTTCTCCATGTTCAACTGCAGTCCTGCTTCGGCCTTTTCTTCTTTCACTTCCCCCTAAAAATCCTTTTCAAGACGGAAAAAAAACGGAATAGAAAATGGGAGTAACCAAAGCACAAATACATCATGTTCAGGATGGTAGAATTAAGCCATGGTGACGTTCAATGGAGCCAACCAGGAACGTCGGCTTTCTTGCTGCCTCTTCCGTGTCAACAAGATTCCCTCCTTTTCCCTCTTTCTGCCTTTTGTTTCTGCTTGCGCTGGTCCAGATTGCAGAAACGGGTTGGCGCGTCTTGCTTGTACGTAAGGAACAAACACAGCCCCTTCCTTGCCAGTACAAAGGACTGTGTGTGGGTTTTTTTGGGGCCAATGCCGTTGGCTTGGAGGGGGTCCCGTGGAAGGGGGTGATCCGAGAGGAGAAGGTCCCCCTTGGCCCACAGAATGATCCAGAAACACCCCCTACCCTACAGCTCTCTTTTGAGAAGGTATTTTTTTCCCCCGCCTTCCCCTCTTCTGGTTCCCCCCTCCCTTTTGTTAAGCTCTTTTTCAGCTGAAATGGCAGCGCCCGGGTGTTTTGAGCTCGCAGTAATTGCCAGAGTCTAGACAGTGTCTGGTATGAGGTGCAGAGAAATCAAAGAGGCCCCTTCTCTCCCTGCGCCTTCCACACATGCTCCTGCGGCCAGGCTGTGTCTTCCCCTCTCTGGCGCATTCACGGGCTTTTATGCACCCCATCATTTCCTAACATCCCCCCTCCAACCTGCTCCTGTGCCGTTCGTTACCTCTCTCCCTTTCCTTTTGTGACGGCCCCGTTCCCTTTTGCTGGTTCCAGACCCTTCCCCAGTCTGGACACAAACTGGACACTGTTTCTAAGACCCTGTCTGCCGGGATGTTCTCAGGGTTAGGTAGGAGAACTCCTTCCTAGAGGATCGTGGCCTTAGGCTGTGGCGAACAGGACAGAGAGGGGACCAGCCTTGGCTGGCATCTGTTTCTTCGAAATAGCTGTTTGGTTCTGTTGTCGTCTCCTAAAGTTGCAAAATTTCTCGGCAAATCCCTCAGCCAGACAACCCGGTCAAGTGGTCGGCTGGGCACCAGATGCCATCTGCGGACACGTCCTTGCTTACTTGGTGGCCGGCCAAACGGCTTACACATTACCTTGCTCTGATCCCATCTGCTCCCAGTTGTAGGGTGTGTTTGAAGTGGATAATGGAGGTCAGTCCAGTTCCCGGCCACTGCCATTTCCAAGCATCCACATGGCACAAAAAAACCCTTCCCCCCCCACCCTTCTCTGCCATTATCATCACTCTTTTACTCATCCCTTTCATCGGCATTAGTATCCCTTCTTTTTTTAAAAAAAGTGAAGCAAGTGAAATAGCTATATTGCTGTGCTAAGCCGTTGGATGAGCGCTGTATCAGTTTGGCGCTGTAGCGCTAAGCTCGGAGAAAACTGTTTTTAAAAAATACAGTGTGCAAATTGTGTGTGGCATTTGTAATCCTTATCCGTGCAAGCAGAAGGCAGGCAAAAAAATAGAGTTCATACCACACACCACTCTGTGCATCATCAGTGATGTCATCTAGACACTCCGGATAATGGCTCTAAAGCAGTGTTCCCCAACCTTGGGCCCCTGGGTGCTTTTGGACTACAACTCCCAGAAATCCTGGCCAGCACCGTGAGTGGTGGAGACTTCTGGGAGTTGTAGACCGAGAACATCTGGGATGGGAAGGGCCCTGCTTCACCCTTTATCCACCCATCAATTCTCCACCCCATATGGACACCTCCCCAACTGACTGTTTTACCAGATTGTCGTTGATGAGGGGAAGGAGATCAGAGAGGGAGAGCAGCTGCAGATGAGGAAGTGAAGCAAGTGAAATAGCGCTATATTGCTGTGCTAAGCCGTTGGATGAGCGCTGTATCAGTTTAGCGCTGTAGCGCTAAGCTCGGAGAAAACTGTTTTTAAAAAATACAGTGTGCAAATTGTGTGTGGCATTTGTAATCCTTATCCGTGCAAGCAGAAGGCAGGCAAAAAAATAGAGTTCATACCACACACCACTCTGTGCATCATCAGTGATGTCATCTAGACACTCCGGATAATGGCTCTAAAGCAGTGTTCCCCAACCTTGGGCCCCTGGGTGCTTTTGGACTACAACTCCCAGAAATCCTGGCCAGCACCGTGAGTGGTGGAGACTTCTGGGAGTTGTAGACTGAGAACATCTGGGATGGGAAGGGCCCTGCTTCACCCTTTACCCACCCGTCCATTCTCCACCCCATATGGACACCTCCCAAACTGACTGTTTTACCAGATTGTCATTGATGAGGGGAAGGAGATCAGAGGGGGAGAGCAGCTGCAGATGAGGAAATAATTAAATAACACCCGCCACCCCCCACCCCTGAGTCCCTGCCCCAGTGACTGTTCCCTGGATGGGAAAATGGCTTTCTTTCTTTCTTTTAAAGGCAGGGTGAGCCTTTGATGTTCACATCTGCCTATCATGTGCACACACAAACACACATTTTTGTGTGATCTCATTGTGTGGTTCAGGTTCGTTGTGGTGATGGCCTCACTCGCTTACCCGCCCAGAAACGTCGCATTAGGAAAATATGCAGGGCGTTTACAAACTTTCCTGGGTGCAAGACTGTATTGGATTCCCCTTGTGTTGTCTACACAAGAGCCTTCTCCAGGATTATGGATGGCTGTGATCCATCATTCCAATCCAAAGGGGAGGGGTTGTGTTTTTTTGGATCTGAGTCAAGTCCAAATCATTGGGGGGGGGAACCCTTAGGCCAGCTCAAGTTGAGTCATCAGATTGGACTGTGAGTATCATAACTCAAGCCCCCTTCCCTGTTATGAATACCTTCCGTCTTTTAAGAAACCTTGTTCTAACCTGGGCAGTGCCTTATCAGGCAACGAAATCTACCAGGGGTATTTTTTTTGTGGGGATGGGAGTATTCGACACACAAATGCTGCAATTCCTTTTCTCATTCTTTTTTTTTTAATCAAAAATTTTAATTAATGTTAAAACACTTTTCTGGTTCTATTTTTTTTAAAAAAAAGATTAACAAGATATCGCTTTCAATAAACAGTGCTAAAGCACTATCATTCTATAGCGCCATTTTTTAAAAAAAGAAAATGAAGAAAACACTTAGCGGCCACCACCGTTTCGCACTCCATTTCCAATCCCTGCTTGTGAGGACCAGTGCTAACAACAATCATGTTTGAGAGCATTTCTTCATTAGCAGAGACCATCACACTTAAATGAATTGGTACTTTGGATTCAACAGATACTCTTTTTTTAAAAAAGGATTGCTTTGATTTCTTCATCCCGTGGTGAATAGCATGGATTCCTGACCTACAGCAGCAAATATCAAAAAGTTGCAATTGTGAGATTTATGGGATAAAGTATGAGGCAATGAGACACATACACAAAACACACCACGCTACCCGCTCTGGACATATAAAAAAAATTATACCTGGCACTAGACTCCAAAAAGTAGCAACGTGTTAACAGCAACACCTCAGAACCGATAAGGACAACATGGATTTTCCTCCATAGACCCAAACTGATTTGGCTGGGTGAGCACTTAGAATATTTTTAATGTGCATCCAGCCAGAGGCTTAAAGGCTAAAGATTGCTCAAAGCTATAATGCCTTTGAAAAACTTTTAAATGATTTTTTTCCGTGTGCCCTTTTATGCTATCCACTTTTGCATTTTTTAGAATGTAATCAAAACATTCTTTTTGAGATTTTAATTGTACTTTTAAATTGCACTTTTATTTTGGATTGGAATCTGACTAAAGTATTTACCTGCAACTTTGGCTTAGTTTTCATATATTTTTCCAGTACTGGTGTGTACACTTTTTCTGCAGTGGTAAGACTAGACTGTTTTCAGCAACTTTGAAGCATTTAGTGCTTATGAGAGAGAGAGAGAGACGCTCTGTTAATAAAGCTTTGCAAACTGATGTTGCCTGGAATGATTGCAACAATGAAGCAACTTTTACCTTGGTACCCAGATGAACTTTGATGTGTTTGACATGGTTAGCTGGTTTCATTCTGGAAATAACCCTTTCTGGGATAATTGCCAGTGGGGATAAATCCGGGCTTCTGATTTTTTCTCTCTAGAGGTCTAAAAAGTTCTGTAGGGCTCTGACGTAGACTTCTGGCATTAGACTTATGGAGGTCTAGAGTTTGCCCATGTAGGCATGGAGGAGGGAGCTTCTCATAATGATCCTTTTCTAAGGTGCATCTCTTCCTCTTCCTCCTTCTCTGGCCATTCCTCCGTTCCTCCTGGGTGCATTGTGAGAGGGCTGTGTTCCAGAACCTTCTCGTCCTCGGGGTTAGGAAGGGCAGACATCACATCTCCGTGACTTATATAGGAATATAAATGAAGCTTTTGTTCACTCCATTTCGCTTTCTTTCCAGCTTTTCATTCTCCGACACGGGAGGAAAATTGTCCTGAGATGGAAAGGAAGGGACTGATACTAATCCGATCCATGGGCTATGGGACTACCTCTAAAAAGGAGGAAATAGGGTACATGGACAAGCTCCAAGCTGAGAGAAAGACCATCTCATTGTTGGGGGTGATGTGGGTCATAGTCCAGAAGACCTGGAGGGCACCATAGTATGGAAAGCTGACTTAGCAAAGGGACGCATCAGTCTTTGGGAAATAGCTCCTGTCTTGGTAATGAATATGGAAGGAGGGCTCTTCTCCTCCATTAGTGTAATGAAAACTGTGTCTCGGAGGCATGACCTTGCTTCGGAAAACGTCCGTTTATCAGCAGAGGAGCAGTCAGATGCTTCGCGTAATCGACCAACGACCAACGCCTTGACAGGAGGACGTCCTCTGACAGCACAAAGGGTGCACGGCAGAAGAAGCTGTTATTTATTTATGGGGTTTTGTGAGTCTTCTTCTCCGGTCGCTCCCTAGTGGTCAGATTCCCCGTCTTCATGAAGGTGGAAAGCCCATGACAAGGATCAGCCTGTCTCCACCAAATTTATGGATTTTTTAAAAAATGGACTACAAATCCCATCATTCTTCATTCCGGCAGCTCT